AATGATTTAAAATGTCATTTTTTCTAATTTTGTGATATAGAATTTTATAAAATTTGTGGAGTTTTAGATAATTTGGAAAGTGAAGAAAGTATAAAGACAAAATTATTCATACTCTTACTAATAATAATGATAATGTAAGCATTTTGATGTTATTTCTTTTTGAACTTTTATAAATTTCTTCTTTGATGAAGTTTAGGGTTAGCAAAAACAAAACAAACATTTAAAAAAATTAATGTTTTTCCTGTTCTCATCGTCAACACTTTCTGTGTGTGTGTGTGTATGTGTACATACTGAGGACTGAATCTATACATGGTAAGCAAGTCCTGTACCACTGAACCATTCTGATACCGGGTTTGTGGGATAATTTTTTCTTTACCCATAACACCCACCAGGCATTTCTACAGCTGACACCAGCTGGGTATCCTATAATTCAAATCAGTTCTGACACTATTTGCCAGGAGATAGCAACCAGATTCTGCAGGTTCTCAGCTCTATTTCCAGTGCCTGTGACAAGTCCTGGGTTGTGACCTGTGGTTCTGACAAATTGGTTATAAATTGGAGGTTCTACAATCTCCCCTCTCTTTAGATTTAACTAATTTTCTGGAATGGCTCACAGAACTCAAGGAACTGTTTACTCATTTTTTATAAAGGATGTAACGAATGATACAGATGGAGCAAAAATGAAGAGATGCATGAGGCAAAGTGTGGGGTAAAGGGCGTGGCTCCTCCTTGTCCTCGCTGGGCATACCAACTCCAGGAACCGTCTGGTTCAGGGGGTCTAGAAGCTTGCTGAAACTTGTCCTCATTTTTTTTTTTTTTTGGACGGGAGGCAATTATAGAGATTTTTTTTTTTTTGTTTTTGTCTTTTTCCTTTTTATCAGTACCAGGGATTGAACTCATGACCGCCTGCTTGCAAGGCAGGCGCTTAGGCCACTGAGCTAAATCCCCAGCCCCAATTATAGGGATTTAACTAAGAACCTTACATACACTAGACAAATACTCTATCCCTTAGCTACAACTTTAGCCTCTTATTTTTTATTTTGTGACAGAGTCTGAGTTGCCCAAGCTGGTCTCAGACTTGTGATCCTTCTACCTTAGTCTTTCTACTGTTAAAACTACAGGTGTGTAGCTCTTACTATCTAGCTCTTATTTTGGTTTTTATGGAGGTCTTATTACATAGGCATGATTGATGACATTATTGGCCATTGATCATCAACTCAACTTTTAGCCTCTCCCTCCTTCAAGGAGGTTGCAGGATAGAACCGAAAGGTCTAAACCTCTAGTCATTTGGTTGGTTCTCCTGGCAGTAGCCTCTGTCTCAAGGTTCTCCCAGGTCATCAGTTACCTTACTAGTGTACAAAAAGGAGGAATCACTTTGGAGCTTCTCAGTTTTGGGAGCTGAGGCACGGTTCACATCTCTTTGTATCTCTCTTTGTGCCTGTCTCTGTCTATCTGTCTGTCTGTCTGTCTTTTCTTTTTCTTTCTTTCTTTCTTTCTTTCTTTCTTTCTTTCTTTCTTTCTTTCTTTCTTTCTTTCTTTCTTCCTTTCTTCCTTCCTTCCTTCCTTCCTTCCTTCCTTCCTTCCTTTCTTCTTTCTTTGAGAGGGTCTTACTACATAGAGCAGGCTGGCCTTCAACTCACTTTTAGACCAGGCTGGCCTTGAATTTGTGTAATCCTGCCTTAGCCTCCTGAGTGCTGGGATTACAGGAGTGTGCCACCCTGCCTGGCTTTATTTCTTTTTATATCTCATGGAGTGATACAAAATTTCATAAATTTTGTTTCTCTAGTGCTTGCCACTTTCATTCCATTCAGAAACCTTACCTTATTCTTTTAATTGTAGTAGGACTACCAAATTAGTTTACTGAAAGCAAAAAGTTGTTTCCCTAGTTATATATCAGGGGTAATCATTTCAGCTCTTTTCAGAGGAACAAACAAAATTATGTTAGCTTGGTAGAAGCTTTTGATAGTAACCGTTCCTTTGATTCTAAGGAAGAAAATCAGAATTTTAAACTATTTAAGAGTTAGAATGTAATTCTACGTATAAATCTTTAAATTCCTATTTAATACTTAACATCTAAAATAGTTAACTAAATCGCCTCCAGTTATGCCGTAATTGACCTTAAGACTGTGAAATTCCTCTTTGTACTTGGTTAGTTATATGATGAAAATAAATGCATATAATTTTTGGATGATAATGTTTTCTTGGAGAGGACTAAATCTGGGACATCACATATGTTCATTCTCTCATTCATATTCTGTCTATCTGGCCATATTGACAAAGATGGTTGTATGTATCTCTGTAAGGATGTCTCTTTCACATAAAGGACTTCAGTTAATGTTTGTTTATGATAATTTCTAGTTGGTATTGTCAGTTTAGAATTTTTAAAGTAGCTTTTTAAAAAAAAATTTTTTTTTGAGACAGATCTTGTTATGTAGTGTAGGCCAGCCTTGAACTCACTATGTGGCCTAGGCTGGCTTCAAACTCATGGTGATCATTTTGCCTCAGCTTTCTAAGTAATGGGATTATAGGCATGTGGCACCATGCTCAGTTTACATTGATTTGTTTCCAAAGGACCTGTATCACCAACCTTAAATATTGTAAATGAGAATAGATGTAAGGATGGTATCTATTTATACTGAACATAGCATCACTCTAAAGGAGTCTCGTAATTCTAAGGGAAGAAAGGTTGGCCAGTGAAACCTATTATGTATAGGTTTTTTTTTTTTGGTACTGGGGATCGAACTCATGACCTTGTGCTTGTCAGGCTTATGCCACTGAGCTAAATCCCTGGCCCTTATTTATAGGTATTACATATTGTTTTTATTATTATTTTATTTTTATTTATTTATTTTTTTATTGGTACTGGGGATCAAACTCACGACCACCTGCTTATTGTTTTTATTTTAAGTTAGAAAATGGACTAAAGCTGTTGTAAGGCTAGTATCAATATATAGTATGCGTTAACAATTGAATATTTTCCAGCTTAATTAATTGACTATTTTCCAAAATAGATTTGACACTAAAACTAGACAATAAATTTTCTTTCAATGCTACAAAATCTTGCTGGGCTGAATTAGATTAGCATCTAAAATTAGTCTCGATTTACCAGAAATATTGTAGTAGTGTTACTTAGTATGTCCTTTGGCTGCTGTTATACTTGTGAGAATGTCCCAGCTGTGACAGGAGACTGGGCATTGGATAATGTATAGAAAAGCCATTTTTTTTAAGAAGATGAATTTGGTTTTTCAAGTAGATATTGTGAATGTAAGATTAGAAATGATGAGATACAGGTTGGACTTTTTGATAACATGTAAAATTTTATTATTTTAATAACTTTATTTTTTTACTGGTTGATATAGTTTTATAATTGAAAAGAACCTCAAAGTTTGTTTTTCAGGGTATGCTGGCACATGCCTGTAATCCCGTCTTTCACGAAGCTGAGGTAGGAGGAATGCCACAAGCAATAGTGAATTCAAGGCCAGCCTAAACTACATAGCTAGCCTGTCTCAAAAACAAAACAAACAAACAAAAAGTTTGTCTTTCAACTTCCTCAAAATAGGAACCTTTTACTGTAATATCTATCCATAGCCCATTGAATTGGAATTTGACAAAATGTTGACATAAATAATCTAGGACAACTGGATATGATGTGTAAATTTTATGTGTTTGATATTTTAGACTCCACTTTTTATTTTGATCTGTTGATTTCCATTAGATGAACTCTCTGGGTTTTTGTAGTATTTGAATAATTGCTACTGGAATAATATTTGATAACTTGAAACAATGACTCTGCTTTTCATTTTGGCAGCAGCTGTACTTGTTTGTGCCTATATTTTTCCCTCCCCCAATATTTAACATGTAAATGTATTTCACCAATAAAAATAAAACCATGGAGAAGGTAACTAACTGGTTTAAATCTCAGGGTTGTCCCAGGACTCACTTGCCCAGTTAATGCAACATGTTTGCTATAGGTGTTAGCAAATGTCTCAGATATTTTATATTTTTAACTTAGAATGAAATAAACTTATATGAAAGGAGAAAGAGGTAGAGAAGCTTACATTACGGCTAAAAGAAAAGATCCTGTGTGTAGGGAGAATATGCAGAGTGTGGTTAAACAACAAAAAGGGACAAGGGAGAGTGCCTGATTATTCAGGAATGGGAATGGAGCAGCTGCGGTTATGCAAAGGAAGGCCAAATTAATGGGTGAGTGTAACTTTACATTCTTGCTTAATTATGAATCTTAAATAGGCCTCCTTAATCCCTTAAGGATGAATGGCTTTCTTTTTGTTAGATCCAACTAGATAATTCTTCCAGTGTTCAGATACCATAAAGAATAGTGTTATTGTAGACATACCACAGAATAGGTTGGTTATCTTTAATGTTGAATTTTGGAATATTTTATATTCTTGTTAACTAGCTAAATTGTGTCAGTTGTGTTAATCCACTGAGTAGAATACATTCTGGTTTGCTACAAATCAAAGCATATTTAGTTTTCTACAAATGGAAATGCATTTTTTCATGTTCTCTTTAAGCATTCCTGGATTTCTTACAAAACATACTCGCGAAATTGTCACAAGTACTGTTCGTATTGTAGAAGTTATATTTAATGTCTCAAATCATGGGGGAATTTTGTTCCTTCAGAAAAAGTTTAGTATATGCTGAAAGAAAACAAACCAGCATTTCTTGGACAGCTGCAGAGAACAGTGCCATATTCACTTGTGCTATTTGTTGGGCGTGGATTGTTGAAGCAGCAACGTTTGAGTATAGCAAGAATGGGATTGCTGGGATGTAGCTCGGTGGTACACGTGCCTGCCTGCAAGCACAAGGTCCTGAGTGTGATTTTTGGTTCAAAAAGAAAAAAAAGGATTGTCTTTCTTAGTGTTAGAAATAGACAACTAGTATTTCACACTTTTTATAATGTTATTATTTGGTACATTTTTAAAGCATACATGTAACATAAAATGTAATTTAGAGAACATAATAATAAAAGGAACACTTACAAACTGCTGTGCCCATGCACCTCTTGAGACTCCAGGACGGACACAGATGGTGGAGGGTAAAGAAGAGTCAAGGTGCAGAGAGCCGAGGTCAGCTGGAGCCCCTCTCCTGACGGTAGAAAGGACTGCCCAGTGACTGAAGTGCGTTTACTTACACACTCAGTTTAAGAGACTGTTTACAGAGAATTTTTGGGGAACAGTGAGATCTGGAACAGGAAGAACATCTAATCTTCAACAAAACGTCATGCTGTCGTGCTTACATGAGGAACAAGAGAGAAGCTGTCTATATTATCTCAGGGGAAGGCCAATCACTTGTACGTCAGTTCCCTGAGCTGCGGACACTTCTCTTGGTGCCCAGCCAAAGTCATGAGAATTAGTGATCTTGTTCTAGATACCTGAGGTAGAGACACCTTCACTCCCAACAATAAATCTGTCATCCAATTGAAGAACTAGAAAGTTGCCAGAACTGTTTAATCTACCAATATTCCCTTATCCTATCTCTGCTAGAGCCCTCCCTCCAGAGAATTGCTGAGAAGCTTGTATTTGTTTTTGATACAAGGTCTCACTTTTTAGTTCAAACTGGCCTTGAACTTGCAGGGATTTTGCCTCAGCCTCCAGAGTGCAAGGATTACAGGTATGTACCACCACACTTGGCTGTTACGTTTATTTAAAAAATAATTTTCTGAGGCATGAAATTGCTGTGTTTAGACAACACAGCAAGACCCTGTTTTAAGCTGGGTGTGGTGGTGCACACTTGTAATCCTAGCACTTGGGAGGCAGAGGCAGGAGGATTGCTGTTAGTTTGAGGCCAGCCTGGGCTACAATAGTGAATTCAAGGCCAGCGTAGGCTACATAGTGAGACCTTGTCTCAAAAAGCCGAAGGGAGAAAAAACCCAAAAAGACCCTATCTTAAAAAAAAAAAAAGTGCCGTCTCTGTCTCTCCATCTGTATATAAGTAAATAAATATGGTATTTATACATCAATAGATGTAGTATATTCTTAAAATGTACTATCTAGTTTGCTTTATAATATTTAAAATTCTTCTACTTGCTGTCTTTATGCTACATTATTTCTAAGACATTTATTTATGTTACTGCATGTAGCTACGTTAATTTATCTGTAGTGTGGTGTTATATTACATTGTGTATTTTATTTTTTTTTCCAGTACTGGGGATCGAACTCACAACTGCCTGCTTGCAAAGGCAGATGCTTATACCGCTGAGCTAAATCCCCAGCCCCTCATTGTGTATTTTATAATTACCCATTTTCCTAGTGATAGAGATTGGCAGTGAATGTTCATGTGTGTGTCTTGCCTGTGTGTGTGATGTCCCTTTCTACGAGTGTATATGTGCGTATGCATATGTGTTGGATGTGTGGGAGTATAAGCATCTCAAAATTTCTCTAGGGGTGTTACTTAGAATTGCTGAATTCATTGTTCAGCCTTGTGAGGTAATATTAGGTATGGTAATAAATGTTAGTATTTAACAATTGGAGCAAACTCTAACTCCAACAGTTTAATAAAAATCAGTGGCTTAAAGATTTTATGTGTCAAAGAAGCCACATAGGTAGCAACTGGCTATACAAATTCTGACCCATCTTCATCTAACTTTTAGACCAGATTCTTGCTGGTTATGGTGGTAAATACCCATAATCCTAGCACTATGGATAGCCGAGGCAGGATGATCTTAATTTTGAGCCCAGCCTAGGCAATTTAGCCTTATCGCAAAAAAGTAAATAATGGGGGGGGGCAGGGATTATCGCTCAGCAGCATAGTGACTGCCTGGCAGGAGTGATGTCCTGAGTATGGTTCCCAGTTCCAAATTAAATACATACATACATACATACATACATACATACTTACATACATAATGGGCTAGGTTATGTAGCTCAATTCAATTAAAAATGAAGTATAGTTTTTTTTCCTCATAACTAAGAGATTAAACCTAGCATCTTTGCATTGAGCAGCATCCCCATCCCCTTTTGAAAATTTTTCAAGACAGTCTCACTAAGTTGCCCAGACTGGGCTCAAACTTGCAATTTTCCTGCCATCACCTTCCAGAGGGCTGAGAATACAGGGATGCCACACCCAGCTCAGATTATTGATTAATAAATCATTTTGTCTTTAAAAAGAAAAATAGGTATCAGCAAGGCTTTAGATGTAGCATAATTGTGATGTTTTCTAGTATGAATGTTTTAAGTTAAGGATCTCAAAGAATAAAATCTATTTGTGTATTAATTAAAAACCTTTCTTAATACTGTTATGAAGTTGGGATCCTAGTTTCTGAGATTTATGCTCTGTGAACCTGAACACATGGCTTTTATTTTGAAGGTAACAAAGTGGCTGCTCACACCCAGCCAGCCATCAGTGTTCTAGGCAAGAAGACATTAGGAGGAAGGGTAGAAGGCCGAAGGGAAATGACTTCCAGTTATACCCTACTGGCTCCCTCTATCAGGAGGGAGAGCCTTTTGTTGGGAACATTCTGCTCTTCGTTATATGGGAATTTTGTTAAGAGGAAAAAGGGAGAGGCATCTTGAATTGGCATCTAGCAGTTTTGCACAATTATATCAAGGGCAGATGAAGAAACATAACTTTTCAATTTGTCAAGAATGGTGTTATACTTACTACTATTAATTGTTGAGAAATGTGTTTATAGAGACCTGTTTCTCTATGTAAATAATAGCCAGGTTACCAGTAGGAAGAACCATATAAAATGTGAATTTGTTTTTGCGTTATTCCAATGTATAGGTGTTAGCAGTATACACAGGACTGATAAAAAAGATACCCAAAGATGAGGTTATTTCATGTGTGCTGGAGGAACTGAAGTAGAAGACTGGAAGAAGCACAGTATTAGAGCAGAAGCATCTCAGAAAATACTTGAAAGGAGAAGATAGTGACTAAGAGATTTTGACTTGGACAAATGAAAGTTGTCCAGGAAAAAAGATATTTGGAATATTTCTTGAACAAGGGGATCTGAAAGGTACTACTTTATTTCCCCTGAAAATAAGACTGGGTCTTATGTTAAAATTTGCTCCAAAAGATTCAATAGGGCTTTTCAGGAGACAGCTTATTTTTTCATACATAACCATTGTTCTTTTTGCCTCCCTTTTCCTTCTTTCTCCTCTCTTTTCTTTCTTTTTTTTTTTTTGTACCGGGGATCAAACTCACAACCTTGCACTTGCCAGGCAGGCACTTAGGCCACTGAGCTAAATCTCTGGCTCCTTTTCTTTCTTGAGACAGGATCTCACTATGGCGTTCAGGCCGAATTTGAACTCACTGTGAGCTGGCCTTGAACTATGCTGATCCTCCTGCCTGAGCCTCCTCAGTGCTAGGATTACAGGCATGCATCACCATACCTGGCCCACAGTCTACATTTATTCAGTGTAACAATCTACACATTCATTTATTTATGTGCATAATCTACATTTATTCAGACATAATCATGTCATCTTCTGGAACATTGTCATAATGCTCCAGACCTCTAATTCCAGGCTGAGTTTCTTGTGACTCCATTTCTGTAGAACCGTTGGCCCCAATCTGCCATGTCCAGCAATAGAGGTCTCCTTGAGTGAGCACTTCTTATCCATGTACCCAGTTTGTGGCACGTTGGCTACAGTGCTTCTCAGTGCTTTTATCTCTGTGAATTCCTCACCCAAGTGATGCCCTCTTTCAGGTGAGGTTTCACAAAGTTTCCATTAAATTAAGTGTTGGTTGAAGGAATGGCAATAAAAATGATGACTGTTAAAAATGATGGTCCAGACAGAAATTACCAAAAATTCAGAAAATGTTTCTTTATTTCACTTGAGGGCAATAGGTTTCCATTACACAATATACTGAATTTTTGTGAAGATTCATCTTAGGCACAATCACGTCTGTTCGTTATCAAATGTGCACATTATTTGTGCACTGTATATGTACTCTGGATGATCATTTGGCAGTAAGCCTTAAGTTAAACTGTTTACATAGATGTTTATCTCTAGCCCAAATCATTTATTATAAATATTATTTTCTATACAATTACATATTAATATTTCATAACTGTACATCTATTCTACATTACAGTGGATGCACTAAATGCATCCATCTGGCAGATGATTTTTTTTTTTTTTTGGTACTGGGGATCGAACTGAAGACCTTGTGCTTGCCAGGCAGGCACTTATGCCAGCCCCTTGGCAGATGATCTTTTTTTTTTTTTCTTTTTGAGACTGGGTTTCACTACGCATTTCAGGCAGGCCTTGAGCTCATGTTGTAGCCCAGGCTGGTCCTGAACTCACAACGATCCTCCTGCCTCAGCCTCCCGAGTACTGGGATTACAGGTGTGAGCCACCATGCCTGGCTTGGCAGATGATCTTAACTGGGAGTTATTTTTGGGTAGGACATATATATGTGTGTGTATATTTATTTATTTTGGTACTGGGGATCAAACTCACAACCTAGCCCTTGCCAGGCAGGCACTTATGCCGCTGAGCTAAATACCCAGTCCCTGGTAGGGCTTATTATGATCATCCTGAAAAATCATGTTAGGGCATATTTTCTAGTTAGGCCTTATTTTCAGGGAAATATGGTATATGTAAGAAATTAGGAAGTGGTTCGAGGATTAACATTACCTACTTCTTGAAGTCAGCCTATCAAGAAACAAGTAAAGGCAGCCTTGCCTCTTCACTTATGAGGGAAACTGAGAAAACATTATCTACTTCATATTAGAGATTCTGTACTATATAAGCAAGGGTAGGGTTAGAAGAGAAAATGGACCAAATTGAATTGTGTAATGGTTTTTCTCCTTTTTCTTATATCTTAGTTTATATTTCTTATATAAATTGAGATGAAGATAAAAATTTAACTTGTCTTTTCCTAGAAACAGTGTGGGAGCGTTTCCTCGGGACCTCAGCTGTGGTTTCTCCATCAGCTCATTTAGGAAGAAGTTGAGGCACTGGGTCAAGCAGGTGGAGGTACATGAGCTCCATTACAGAGAGATTCTCACCATTTAATAGCGTCAGGTCAGCTGAGGTCATCAACATCATTATCTGTATGGGCCTAGACACTAGGATAACAAAAATACTGATCATATATTTGTTTCTTAGAGAATTAAAAGAGTTAGGAAAGCTGAGCAACTCACAAGAATGTATTTTAGCCATCTCTTTCCCTAATTGCTCACTACTGTATTTAGAATTACGTTTTTAAGCTCCAAATGTTCCAAATAGACTTATTTTTCAATGTTTTTTCTGATTAACTATTTC